AAAACAGTAATATTGTGAAATATTATATATTTTTTAGGGCTGTCAAATGATTAATCACGATTAATTGCATCCAAAATAAAAGTTTGTGTTTACATAATATATGGGTGCGTACTGTGTATAATTATTTTGTATATAAAAGCACACACGTATATATTTAAGAAACAAATGTTATTTATTATATAAATGTTTATATTTATATAAAATATACATTATATATAGGCTACATTCAGTCTATATACAGAATATACATGCAAATATTTCTTAAATACACATGCATGTGTGGGTATTTATGTATTAAAAATAATTATACACAGTACACACACATACACTCACCGGCCACTTTATTAGGTACACCTGTCCAACTGCTCGTTAACACTTAATTTCTAAGCAGCCAATCACATGGCGGCAACTGAGTGCATTTAGGCATGTAGACATGGTCAAGACAATCTCCTGCAGTTCAAACCGAGCATCAGTATGGGGAAGAAAGTTGATTTGAGTGACTTTGAACGTGGCATGATTGTTGGTGCCAGAAGGGCTGGTCTGAGTATTTCAAAAACTGCTAATCTACTGGGATTTTCACGCACAACCATCTCCAGGGTTTACAGAGAATGGTCCGAAAAAGAAAAAACATCCAGTGAGCGGCAGTTCTGTGGGCGGAAATGCCTTGTTGATGCCAGAGGTCAGAGGAGAATGGCCAGACTGGTTCGAGCTGATAGAAGGGCAACAGTGACTGAAATAACCACTCGTTACAACCGAGGTATGCAGCAAAGCATTTGTGAAGCCACAACACGCACAACCTTGAGGCGGATGGGCTACAACAGCAGAAGACTCCACCGGGTACCACTCATCTCCACTACAAATAGGAAAAAGAGGCTACAATTTGCAAGAGCTCACCAAAATTGAACAGTTGAAGACTGGAAAAATGTTGCCTGGTCTGATGAGTCTCGATTTCTGTTGAGACATTCAGATGTTAGAGTCAGAATTTGGCGTAAACAGAATGAGAACATGGAACCATCATGCCTTGTTACCACTGTGCAGGCTGGTGGTGGTGGTGTAATGGTGTGGGGGATGTTTTCCTGGCACACTTTAGGCCCCTTAGTGCCAATTGGGCATCGTTTAAATGCCACGGCCTACCTGAGCATTGTTTCTGACCATGTCCATCCCTTTATGGCCACCATGTACCCATCCTCTGATGGCTACTTCCACCATGTCACAAAGCTCTAATCATTTCAAATTGGTTTCTTGAACATGACAATGAGTTCACTGTACTAAAATGGCCTCCACAGTCACCAGATCTCAACCCAATAGAGCATCTTTGGGATGTGGTGGAACGGGAGATTCGCATCATGGATGTGCAGCCGACAAATCTGCGGCAACTGTGTGATGCCATCATGTCAATATGGACCAAACTCCCTGAGGAATGCTTCCAGCACCTTGTTGAATCTATGCCACGAAGAATTGAGGCAGTTCTGAAGGCAAAAGGGGGTCCAACCCGTTACTAGCATGGGGTACCTAATAAAGTGGCCGGTGAGTTTATATTATGTAAACACAAACTTTTATTTTGGATGCGATTAATCGCGATTAATCGTTTGACAGCCCTAATATTTTTTAAGAACTGTTGTTGTTGTTGTTGTTTTTCTATTTGAATATATTTTTATGTAATTTATTCCTGTTATGGGAAAGCTGAATTTTCAGCAGCCATTGATTTGGTGATCAGTTACTAATAATGACTCTTATCATTATCAATTTAGAAAATGGTAACACAACTGTTTAATTTTTGTTTAGTTTTGGAAACCAATAAAAAAAATTCATGATTATTTGATAAATAAAATATTCCAAAGAACAGCATTTATTTGAAACCTTTTGTAACATTATATATGTCTGTCACTTTTTATCAATTTAATGGGTCCTTGCTGAATGTAGTATTAATTATTAAAAATAAATCGTTCTTACCTCAAACTTTTGAATGGTCACGTATCATGATTTCCACAAAAATATTAAGCCGTATAGGCCTAACTGTTTTCAACATTGATAATAATCAGAAATGTTTCTTGAGCATCTAATCATCATATCAGAATGATTTCTGAAGGATCATGTGACACTGAAGACTGGAGTCATGATGCTGCGAATTCAGCTTTGATCACTGGAATAAATTATATTTTTTAAACACATTAAAACTGAATATTCATATTGATGACATAGAGACTTATTTCAAAAACATTTAAAAAATGTTCATTATTCCAAACTTTTGAGCAGTGGTGTGTGTCATGATTGATGAAACGGCATCTGGTTTGTTTTCAGATGCCTCATGGTGACATGCTGGTCTGTGCTCAGTGTGTAAAGTTTAATCACATGGAGAAAGACACTTAGTCACAGAGGTCACAGTGACTTCACTCTCTTGTTCTGTTTCTATTTCCTCTCATCATCTCACAGACTCCTTTCCTCTTCTTCCGACACGTGCCCTCCTTTAGCTCAAAGGCTTTCTATTCCCGTCCCTCTGGTCATGTGAGTGTGGGGGGTCAGGGCTTGTGGTCGGGTTTACAGGGCCGCTGCTGACCCCTTACACAGCAGATGGCCCTCGCTCTGCATGCTGGGATAGTGTAGGGCCGACTCACTGTCCTGGAAAGACCCTCACAGTGGAGGTAGATGTCTCTCTCACACACAAACACACACTTCTTCTCACCTCCTTGAGTCAAAAGAGGAAGCTACACAGACTCAGAGTGATTGTCCCTGTAGTCTGTTGTGTGGATTTGGTTTCCGAACATTAACTTCATCATGACTTCAGAAGAGTGACACAGACATGTGTGTGGGATCCTATACAGGTAGAGTCTAATGCTGTTTAATGTTTCGGTGTGTGTGGGACAGTTTTAATATGAAAGCTGGAACAGTTTGGATTGTTGTTCTTATTGGATTGATGTTTTGATATGACGTTTTGGTATGTAATGATATTATGTACTAAGATGTAAATTGTCGCTGTCGGGCAGAAACCTTGTAATCGTATATTCATATTTAATGCAAGTGTCTGACCATATATACAAAGCCACAATATCAACTCTGACAACACAGTGTTTAGTTTTTAAAAAAATATACAGTGTTATTTCATTTCTGGAAAAGTAGCGGTTTTGGAGAAAATATAAAAATGAATGCATTTAATGTTTAAAGTTCAGTCACATTTACCATTGTTTGGTGAAATTTTGAGAGCGAAATCCAGTAATTTCAATTGGAATCCGCGTAAACTGGAATTTTGCTTAAGGGGGAAAGATTTCCCCGGCTCACAGATTTCGTTTTTCATGTGAATTCACAGTGTTGACCAACAGAAAGCTGCCTGGTATGAAATTGACTTTTTTGCAGTCACTTAAATTTTCATAAAATTGTACTAATGCATTTACAATGATTCAATGCTTGATAACTAACTGTAAGATTATGTAAATGCCTAAAATGGTATTCTGTTATTGGTTAAACGGTTTAAGCAAAAACCCAGTCAGCACATGTAGTTTTTTCGCTGTGTATACACCCACAGTTACTGCTGTTCTGATGGCTTATTCTCATTGGACAAAAAAACGTAAAGTGTTAAAAATGTAAAATGTAACGTGGGTATTTTATGAGCTGCTAGTTAGGTTGATAGTTATCATTACAAGAAAACCCAAAATGAATTTGTGAAAATGTTATTATTATTATTATTTATTAAAATAAACCTAAATAGATAAATAGATTAGGTGACACCAAAAGCAAAGAGTTCACCCCAAAATGAAAATGCTGTCATCATTTACTCATCATGATGTCGTTCCAAACCTGCACAAACCTGTTCTTTCTTCTGTGGAACGCAAAATAAGATATTTTGAGAAATCTCTTATTTTTGTCCACACAGTGGAGGTCAGTGGTAACCAAAACTATTTAGTTACCAATATTCTTTAAAATGCGTTCCACAGAAAAAAAGATTGTCATACATGTTTGGAACAACTTGAGGGTGAGTGAATGATGACAGAAGTATCATTTTTGGGTGAACTATCCCTCCCAAGTCCTTTTTAAGGGTCAATCTGGTGCCATATTTGAGTGGGTTGTTGTTATATGTGTCAGATGACATCATACTCAAAGATGGGAAAAATAACTTCTTTTGGACATTAAATGACTCCTTTCCAGTTTGTGAAGAAAAGGCTTAACATCAGACAAAAATAATAAACTGCATTAAAGACAGAAACAGGTGCACTTCAGGTTTTGACCTTTTGGTTTTGAGCTGAACAGGTGTTTTGTTGTGTTTGTAGATGTTTCTCTGTAGCGTCTCAGACTGTGCTCTAAAGCAGTCTCTGTGTGCTGTTGGGCAGCTGTTATTCTCAAGCCTCAGATCCTTTGTTGTAACTCTTGGTGAGAGAAGATCAGAGCAATGCAGGACAGGCAAAGAGCCAGATTCCCTATCTTACCCAATACCCACGACTCCATGCTCTTGTCTCTGGGCCGTGTGCCTGGTCGTCTTTAAATGACAGTTCTGGCTCTGTAAGCCCGTTCGACCTCACATTGAGGGAAGAGGTTTCACTACATTTTCCAAAAACACACTGTGGGAAAACTTGCATGTATGCATGTTTGTCTGAACATATCCGGTGACGAATCCCGCAAGTTGAGTGATTGATGCTGCAGGTTTACCATGTGCGTGAGTTTGAACCATGGTAAGTCCTTGCGAGTTGAAGGTTTCCTGGCTCACACCTCTCCTGTTGAAGTTAAAGTACAGCTCTCCTCAGCTGTTACGAGTGAAGAGTCACACAGAATAAATAGTCTAAATAGGACTTCCTCATTTGAACTGTGAATATAAGGTGTAGTGCACTCCTAAATTAAAATACTGTCATGTGAATGACTTTTTTGTTCTGTGGCTTTAGAAGACTTTATAAATAACGCAATTCAGCAGTAGTGCAATTCAGTTGTTTTTGGAGCTTGACTGCTTCAGTTCCCATCCACTTTTAATGAATGGAAAATATCCTGACTACATCCCCCATGTGTCCTCTCTCTAGGTCTGACTGGGTGGAGATCGTGGAGCCGCGCTCAAGGCAGCGCATGTATGTCAACCTGCTGACTGGCGAGTGCGGGTGGGAACCGCTGCCCGGCGCCCCTGTCCGTCAGTCGGACGGCAACCAGTGGTGGGAGCTTTTCGACGGCAATAACAATCGGTTCTACTACTACAACTGTACGAGCCAGCAGACGGTCTGGCACAGGCCTCAAAACTGCGACATAGTGCCTCTAGCGCAACTCCAAGCCTTGAAGAGGAGCTCTGAGGTCGAGATGAGGGGTCAAGGGAGGATCCCTAGAGGACCGGCGGATGGCAAACGGACTCCCGTGCCTGGACTGGTTTCATCCACACAGTCCTCCTCACTGGAGCAGGAGAGTGGGAGGGAGACGCCCTCGTCCAATGGCAAAGGGGACAGTTTGGAGAAAAGGAGCCAGGGAAATAGGTGAGCAATTAAACTTGGACTTCTCATGGTGACAATTAAAGGAATAGTTCACCCCCCGAAAGCAACATTTCTGTCATTGATTCACACCCTCATGTCATTCCAAACCTGCATGACTTTCTTTCATGTGGGGTCCCATGTTGCTTTGGACCCTACTGACTTCCATTGTATGGACAAAAAACATTGTTCAACATACTGTATCTTTTGTATTCTGCAGAAGAAAGTCTTACAGGTTTGGTATGACGTCAAACCCTTGAGCTCCGCTCTCTGTGACGCACATTTTCATGGCTGTGTTTAATGGGATTTCTTATTGCCAGGAATGGTGATTTTAATCTGTCTCTTTGTTGGGCCGCAATCTCAGCATCTTGACTCATCGTGGTCTGGTTAGCACATTAGTTCTGCATAGGCTGCTGTTCTTGCTCCTGCCACTTTCACACTAGAGATTTTGGTGTGGACCGGAGTCCATTTCACACTCTTTGGGTGGTTCATTTGGCTGTTGTGGAATCTGTTTTCAGGGCACCAGAGAACGACACTAGTCTTCTTGAAAACTTAAGCCCCAAGTGTCTGCGGTATTTATGTCCCGAACTTCTCACCCGCTAAAACTGCCTTTGCACTCATTTAGACTAGAGTTGCTAGTATCCTGCTAGTATAGAGTTGCCAGTATACACATAAGAGCTTGTCAACACGACCGTCTATTGTAGCTTCCTTAAGACAAGCTACTTATTCAGGCAACCCACCAACTAGTCTATTTTGAAAATAAGTAACTTCGTTTACCTTACATTTCCAGTTCTGCCCTGCAAGAAGAACTCCATCACCTGCCCTCCCTCTCTCACTGATACACACAGTTATAGAAGCTGTTGTGCGTATATTTGGCTGGAAGGAGCTGAAGCCAAGTTGTGATGTGTATGTTAACAAGGGAGTGTTTGATAATTAAAAAGAGACCAGTATTTAACACTTAAACGCATACCTTGTGTCTTTATTGACACGGGACGTCATTCACTATCTTCATTTTTTAAACTTAGACATCAACCTACTCAGTATTCCTCAATCATTTCATTATAAACAATATAACAAGAAAAAAAATCTAAAATAATGTTTTATTTTAGAAAACATTATTTTAAAATAAGTTTTTTTGTAAAAACTGTATAGGGTCACTAGTGACCCAAGGTATGTAATAGTGCAAGTATATTTTTTTCTTGATGGTGGATCTGGAGAAGACACCGTCAGCGTTCAAAATACTGATTTTGAAGACGTTGAAAACAGTAGTTTTGAGAATATGGTCGAGATGACGAATATGAGCCAGATGCTGAATGTTCTGGGAAATGAGCTCTGATGGGAAAACACATCTGCTCAAATGAAACCCTTCCAAGTTCCAAAAGGTAACAAAATATGCTATATTTTATTAAAATATCAGGGGAGTTGTATACTATTGTGGCAGTTACAGATCCATCCGTGTTAGATATAGATCCGGGTCGCCAAAGACGATTCGCTTTAAAGGTGCATTGCGCAACATTTCATGTTAAAAATACCCGTTTTTCTAACCCATACATGCTTAAACAATTGCCTGATGGGCTGAATGAGCCCTTCTCTGATCACTGAGATTGCCTCTATAATCCTGTACAGTAAAATAAATAAGAGGGATTCGGGCCGGAACGTGAGACTGGGCGTGACGTCATGCGCGTTCACGCTCACCTGGCTATGTCTGGCAGGTTTGTGTATTCACCGCCATTCTCCGTATCAGCGAAGACAACTCGAGCGACAAAACTTTAGTCAACTTTCGACAAAAGTAGAAGATGGATTCTAAGAGACCGGCATGTACTTCATTCCAAACCCCAACGCAAACTCCACGTAAGACAAAGAAAAGACAACTTTTGTATAGTGCCACCAAAAGGTCCAAATTGGAGTCAGACAGGCGTCGGAATAAGACGAGAGTCAACATCGGGAAGGCTTTCAACAAATGAACAGATCTCCGGTCTGCTCTAGGGCTCAAACGGGATCCTCAGTTGGCTTTTACAAAGTAATAACTTATATTGTTCATGAACGTGTTTCCATAATAATACACTCATAAGTGGATACAGTAAACACGTAAAACAAGTCAACATGGAGATAGATGGAAACAAAAACCGAAGTTTTCTACTACCCCCGTTTTCCCCTTACACACTAGTGTGTAATTTGCTCAAATGCCTTTCCTTTCATATATTTAAAATGACTTGCAGATTTATAACTTTATTACCTCTGAAGACATTATATGACTGTAAACAAAAGATTAGTGCGGCTGATGCTCCTTTGGTTATGAACAGCTCGTGCAAGCGTGCGTATGCTGTGGTCCATGAGCGTGCACACCTCTGGTTGCAGTTTCGCTTGTCGCCAGAGGGGGCATAGTTCTGCAAAAACTCAGAGACTTGCGCAATGCACCTTTAATGATGGGATTCACCTTTAATGAATAATTCATGCATTTAAGGGTTAAAAAAAAGCATACAGGTAAAATGAATTGGTTTCTTTTCACCCACTACAACTTCTCATAGATTAAAATGTTAAGTGATTCCCGCATGATTTTCATCACTTTGTTGCCCCATCAAAATTGACCATAGAAGAAGAAAGGGCTTGTGCTAATGAGTGCCCCTTGTGGCCACACCGAGAATGCACCACACAAGGATTGCACTATGAAATCCTTTTGTAATATCTGATTCTGAACCCAGTAGTGCATGAATTGTTCTTGGACCGCTACAAGCATTGGCATTCACTTAATTGAGCAGATGATCAGCATTTCAGGCATTTCTGTTTCATTGGAAACCAAGAGCCTCACTGTATGACTTAATGCTGGAAAAGGCATATGATATCACACTTTTGTCTCTCTGGGTCAGCCTCAGTCTTTTTGCGGGTAAAAATAACATGCTGGGTCTGTTCTCCTAATATTTTATTCATTTGGGAATCTTGAAGCTGTTTTGGCACAGATACACTTTTCATGTGGTAGTGCGCCAGGTACTGAGAACACTGTGTATGAGAGCGAGAAAGAGAAAGGTGCCTAGCAGACTCCTCTAACAAAACCAGCCTTAAATGGTCACACGCTTTTCCTTGTTAACACACACCCGTAACACACCCTGGAATGCACTTTCTCTGTGCCTCTTAAACTGCTGTGTTAATACCTGTTTTCTAATTGTATAGCTTCTTGGGTGGGACACACACATACACACTCACTCACACACACTCGTCTATAGACCTATTGTTTTTTTCAGCATCTGATTTTAGGACGCACAGTTGTTTCTTTTTTAGGTTGACTACACAATTCTCATCCAGTGTTGTTATTGTTAACTAAAACTAAAATGATTAAAAATAGCTTCCGGTACTTGAAATAAAGCTGAAATAACATTAAATATGACGAATAACTAAAACTTAAATTAGATATGTTGCTTTGCCAACTAAATTAAATCAGTTTAAGTTGACATACTGAAATTACTAAAACTTAAATACATTAAAGCTAAATAGAAATATTTTAAGAAAAAAACAAAAGCACATAACAAAATAAATCTAACTTAAACTGAAAATATAAAAATAAACCCTGATTAAAAATATGGATAATTACTATAATGGTATATTAATAATATTATTATATTATATTTTCTCTTCAGTTGTGTCAGGTTTATCATTGCTAACTAAAACTATCACCATAAAATAATTTGCTTTGCATAAAATAAACATTAACTGAAATAATAATACAAAAATAATAAAATATATATACAGTATGTCTCATTTTCATTTAGTTTAACTTGATGTACTAAAATAACAAACTACGGTACAACTAAAATTAATAAAACAATTAACCATATTAAAAACCTTTAATTAAAATGAACACTGAGAACATGAAAGTAAAAACTAATTCAAAATAATATTGATAAGCACTAATAGTCCACCTGAGTGATAGTGAAGTAACACTGAGTTGCACGCACTAGTTCTCAGGAAAGCACATTAGCAGCTCACACTCAATTAAAGTAGGGCAAGTGTTCCAGCCTGTACATAGTGTGTGTGTGTGTGTGTGTGTGAGATGCAGCAGCTAGAGGACGTCCAGCACAAGCTGCCGTAGCCCAGTAACACTGAGCTGTTTTTGGGTACAGTCACACCGCGCACGTCCCTGAGGTCATGGAGGAAACCTGGATCTCTATACTTATACATGTGTTCCATGTCCTGTGGATGTCAGAGAGGGTAAGATGTCCACTCTTTAGGGGTTCTTGTGCTGTGTTTTAAAACCTGGAGAACTGCCTGCCTGGATAGCAGCCTTTGGGCATCATTAGGCACGTTCTAAATATTGAAATGTTTCAAACAAACGTTTGATTTAATTTGAAACACACATATTATGTTCAAAATGCTGTCTAGGTAGACGGCTGTTTTGGTTCTTTAACATAGCCTTTGGTTAGAGTTAGAGAAATTTGCAATCTAAGCTGCTAGTTAAGTGCACCCGTCTGAGCGTGTGAGCTGGAATATGGGGGTAGAGACCTGTGTGCATGTGTTTATCCTTTTTCTAATCGGGCATTGGCATTGTGAGGGCTCTTCCCCCTCTCCTTTAACATATGGGCCATCTCTCTGGCTTAAAGTCAATGTGTGTGAGAGCTGATTTTTTGCCAGAGATGGACAAAGAGCCCTCGGTTTGGCTCCGTACACACACTACAAATATGTATTAGTGTTCCAGATTTTCTGACTTTTGTGTACTCTGTTATGTGGGTGAGTAGAGCCATACTGTAATTTGTAACATGAGTAACAAAACTGTAATATATAATATAAGTTTGTTTTTCTTATTTTGTCATATTTTGGTTGGTGGTTGACTGTAATGCTATACTGTCTTTGTTGTTGTAACATTTTATATTGGATAATTGATGGCTAGCTTGTGATGTTTTGAATGCTGATCTCCACCATGCTTCTTAACTAGCGTAACCAGCAGGACTAGGTTGATTAGCTTGTGGTAAACAGCTGCCCAGTCTGATTCACTAGCTTGACCAGTATGGCACCTA